AATTATCTTCCACACGTCTTCGCACGTAGAATTCTGAAAAACAAGACTATTTTGCCGTGTACACACGTGGGAAAATGTTTCAACCCGTGTTCACATCGTGGAGGGTATCAAAATTTCCACATGGGCAGACTGTATACTGTCTGATGTTGTTTGCAGCTGAAAAAACATACAGCGTAATTGAAGAAGCAAACATAAAATTCAGTGGGAAACATTTAGGCATGGGTGTAGTTCGAGACAAGGGTCAAGAACATGCAGTGACAATCATAGCAGAAGGTAACTATAAACAGGTTATTCTCATTTGATTTATTTCATCAACCTTTTAGGACACAAACAACAAATGAATAAACGAGCAGCATATTTTGAAAATGTATTAATGACAAGTGAAGAAGTGACTGCTGAAGAAGACGAAGAAAATCTAGAAAACCCATTAAAACAAAAAAGTATGCGCTAAATGTTAAACAAGAGTTCGGGTGCAGTTCTCACTTCTATTGTCTTTTTTAGAACGAGATATGCTTCATTCCCCTTTTTATAATAGTTTTTTTTCTTTTAAACACGCTAGAAAATGAAGAAAATCGTCGAAAGAGAGCGAACCAACAACAAAAACTAATTGATGCAAGTTGCATCATGCAACTAACTGGCTTATGTCTACACAAAATGAAACCACGACAACAGTTGAACAACAAGAATATCAAGAAACTGAGCGAGAGCAAATGGAAGTAGATGATTTTGAAGAAGTTGACGATGATACTGCAAGTGAAGGAGAGGTAAGATTTTCATTAAGAAATGTACACTGCTCAAAACTCTTGCTTCTGAGCCAAAAAATTCCCTCCGTTTATTTATAGAAAGTTTTTCCTTTTTAAATGATCTCAAAGGGCGGAAAAACAAAATATTTTTTGTTGAGATATAGACTCTTTTTCAGTTCGTTTCTTCAGATCTATGCGAAATATTCGTCTTAGGGTTTTTTAAATTCAGCGGTACTCACAGAATTTGATACAGAGAGTTTGTTTAAATAGGAAACTTCTTAAAATTTTTTAAACGTGGGAAAGAAATTAGAGTTTCCGGAGAAAAATCGCATAAAGAATCAGTAAAAAGCATTGTCCTTTAGACTGGCTTCTAATGACACAAAGAACTTTTTAAAAGAGATGACAAAAAACACTGAAAGTTTAGAAGAAAGCCTTTTTTTATTGTAAGGAAGACCAGCTTTCCTTCTTTTTAATCTCCCGATGGTATCGTGAATATCTAATAAAATTTTTTTTATAGGAACAGTCAGTCGAACAAGTGAGGGGTCCAAGTGATGGATTAGAAACTCCACCACCATCGATACCTCCTCCTATTCGAATAACTCCTGCTCCAACTCCACTTATTCAAATTCCACCTCGACAACAACATGCTACAGTTTCATCGTCTATTGGTTCTTCATCTGATACTTCAAACAATTCCTCTTCAGATTCAACAAGTACCACTGATCCTCGCAAACGAAAACGAGCAAATCATTCGCATCAAAATCACAGTCACCGTCAAAAAAGAAAAAATCATCAAATATACCAAGTGATCACTCGACAACTTCAAAGTCTAAAAACAAATGTCAATATATTAGTACGTATCGACCTCGATTGTAACTCTGGGGAGCTTCTATTCTAATTATCATATATTTTTTTCAGGTGGAAGCACAATATCAAATCAAAAGCAAGCTACTAAAGGACTTGAATTGGTTAGTTCATCTTCATATCATTTAGGAAACTTGTTGTGTCTTCTTTTCTTTAGTTGTACTATGGAAAAAATTTATTTGATATACATGGTACAACTCCCATAGAATTTAGTCGTAATATATTAAGACAAATATTCATTCAAGAAGAACTCAAGACAAGACGATTACCAGGTAATCGAAAACTGAAGAAATTAAACAATGGTGAACTAGTCGATCGTCAGCTGAACGAAGAAAAAATTAAACTATTAAAACGTAAGTTATCGCTGTATTTTTCATTCTACTTTTCGACTAACCATGCACTAGTATCGAATAATTACTGGTGATACTACCGATACCTGTCTATACTGACTATTAGCAATACTAGTTTGAAAAAACCGAGAGAGAATTCGAAATAAAATTTATAAACTTTTCTCTCAATCTATTAAATAAGCGTTTGGCTGTAGAAAAACACTACCTATAATTTATCTTGTTGGTGAAACATTCTTTTGCTCTAGTTAGTGGAACAAAAAAATGGCAGAATTCGTTTTCAGTTAGGAAAACTATCTTTTAAGAACTTGTAGTCAAACTAAAACCGGTTAGATTTCTAGAAAAATGGAATTCGTTATTTTTCTCAGCATTACAGCGTCTTTTACAGTTAGCGGCTGAAGGAAAATAGTATGGGAACCATCGTTTTACTTGCATTACTGAACTGAGAAATTAGCTTCGATACTGAGAATAGTGTAATGAATTCTATTTTTCTCGAAATCTAACCGGTTTTAGTCTGACTACGAGTTCTTAAAAGATAGTTTTCCTAATTGAAAACGAATTCTGCCATTTTTTTGTTCCACTAACTAGAGCAAAAGATTGTTTCACCAACGAGATAAATTATAGTTAGTGTTTTTCTACAGCCAAACGCTTATTTAATAGATTGAGAGCGAAGTTTATAAATTTTATTTCGAATTCTCTCTCAGTTTTTCCAAACTAGTATTGCTAATAGCCAGTATAGACAGGTATCGGCAGTCTCACCAGTAATTATTCGATTCTAGTGCGTTCCCATCCTGGACTACTTTAAGGAAACTCTTTAACGGCTGATACACACTGTCATCGTAGACTAAAGTGTGATTCTAAATTGTTCTTGGATTGTTACTACAGGTAATTGATCATTCGATTTGTATTTCTCTCTTTTCAGAAGCTGTGAGAACCAAATTCAAATTATCAGCAGAAGTGTTTGCCGATTTATGGGCAAAAACATTGTACCAAAAATTATCTCAAACGTGCTTGGACATAAAAAATAACAAGTAATCTCTCTCTCTCTTTCTCTACTGTTTTCGCTATGTTTCGTGTTTTATCCCTATTTTTTTTCTGAAAAAATATTTTGTTTTCTATACGTTCTTTAGTTTTCTGTATGTACCGATAACAGTAATTTTATTTAATAAATAAGAGATGAAAATGATTTTAAAGGATGGTAATAAGAAAAGCAGAAAACTGAATAAGGAAACACTGAGAACGGACTGGGCCTGAAAAAATCACGGCGATTTTCTTGTCAAAAACAGGTAAGACATTCATAAGAAATTCGTAAGAAATTCATAAAAAGTTCATAAGACATTCATAAGGAATTGATAACTGATTCTTATATAAGAATCTTGTAAGAATCTTATAAAAATTTGATAAGTATCTTACATCAGCCTTGTAAGTACCTTGTGAGATTCGTATATAAGAATCGATGTCTAGGGGATCCCTCCTCTCCCCTGCAAAATTGTATACTTCGTCTTTCTGAGCTGCATTTTTTTCTGCCACAACTAGGATCAAATTGGAGTGAGTCTTTTTTTTTCTTTGAAAAATATCCTCCTACAGCTCAGGAGAGCCAAAATACGGACGACACTATCAAAAAACGGGTTTTTTTTCAATAGTGCTAGTTCTCTAAAGGCTGCCAAATTCCATAGGAACAAGGTTTTCAAGAGAAAAAAAAGACAGATCCCGGTTTGACCAAAGTACTCATAAAAAAATTTTGAGTCCGATCGGTTGTACCGCGGCGGAGAAAAGGGGGGAAAACTTTAATCTTTTCTTCAGATATCTGATTTGAGAAAAACGCAAACAAAATTGAGTTTTTGGGGGTTCTTCAGCGTATTTTGTAGTTTTTCTCGAGTTCTTTATGCATAAAACGTAGGTTTTCAATTCTCAACATGTGCTCACCAGATAAAGGGCATTTAAATCTATATAAGTTGCAGCTAATGCAAACTTACAGTGGAATTTATTTTTGACTTTATTATACATATTCGGATTCAGCTTAACGAGTTGATCGGGAATAACACAGTTCGAGCCTTCCCAAACCATTTCTTCATGGAGAAAAACTCAAATTACCGAGAGGACCTCAACAATACAAAAAACCAGGGGGGGAACTTATATATGGACCTTTTGAAAATCGCCGAGCATTTTCTATAAATAATTCCCGACATTACAGTGTAAAGTGTTAAAGTTTAAGAGTGTATAAGAGTAAAAGTGTACAAGAGCCAGAGCCCGAAACGAGGCAGGATTTTGCTCCTTCGCCTCGAAAGCTGTTGCCCTCGGTTCGCTTCGATTCGACTCTATTTTTTCCAAGGCCGCCTCGCCTCGTCTTTTCTCAGGAAAAAACACATTCCAAGTATGCGATATCATTTTTTGGTTAGTATGTATGAAAGTAATTAAAAAGTTTAGTTAATTGATACAAGACAGCTTTATTGTTTGAGAAGTGAACAAAAATAATTTAATCAACAAACAAGAA